GTGGCTTTATGCCTCATATTAACCAGATTGCATAAAAAACCTTAGTGGTTTTATGCATCACACTAACCAGATTAAATAAAACTGCCTTAGTGGCTTTATGCCTCATATTAACCAGATTGCATAAAAAACCTTAGTGGTTTTATGCATCACACTAACCAGATTAAATAAAAAAACCTTAGTGCCTTTATGCCTCATATTAACCAGATTGCATAAAAAACCTTAGTGGTTTTATGCATCACACTAACCAGATTAAATAAAAAAAAACCTTAGTGCCTTTATGCCTCATATTAACCAGATTGCATAAAAAACCTTAGTTGTTTCATGCCTCATAATAACCAGCTGACAGTTTGAAGCCATTCTTTGGGACTGATAATGGCTGATAACGTCCATTTAATGGATGATAACATTCGAAGCGGATGCAGCCTGACCGCATGGTGTCTTATGCCGTTGCACTTCAGCTCGCTAAAATAAGTGTTTATTTTTTATCTACTTCAAACGTTTTGTATTCTAGAAGAGTACAACTGTTATACAAGCTTTTGAGCATGAAAAATGTTTAGTTACTGCACTATGTGTTGGTTTAATAAAAACACTCAAAAGATTTGAAATGGCAGTTTGATGACATTTGTGTGCAGCACTATGTGGTCCTGTGGCAATAAAAAAAATGTGGCCCCTTCCATCATCCACAGAATCCCATTTCAAAAGATCTGAACTATCAGTTCTAGAAATAATTTTTGCAAAAACACAATTTTTCTCATGGCTGCGAGTATTTCAGGCCTCACCTTCTTCGTCTGGTAGATGCTGCTGATGGGAGCCACCTCACAGTCTTTGTGTTCCCCGAACACTTTGCACATGGAGCAGGTGGGCACACCGTGGGTTACACAAAATATGTTGATCTTTTCRTCCGCGTGAACGTCGCACATGGGCATTTCCTCCTTTCTCTCTGGCGCTGGCTTGCTGCTGTTGAGACGCAATAAAAACAGACGTGGCTTCATCTCACGGCATACTGATGTGAAGCGGGACACCAGTTTGATAATGTCACAGTTGCACACCTGGGCAGTSTATTGATAATTCATCCGTCTTTGGTTGCTGTTAGAAAGGTGATCGATGCATCAGCTTGGTGTTGAGTAGCATACAGGTGGATGCAAACTGAYATCTATTAGCCATGCCCCAAAATATTATTATTCTAGCTTGTTTACACGAGCTGACAGAAGTTCCCTTTTTGTTCCTGGGYTATTAGAGCTATTTTGAACCCAAAACTTTGCTTAGTAAAGACAAATAATTTACAATTTTGCCTCATACAATACAAGTTACTTTTGATTTTCATAAGCTAAAGAACTTCGCCAAAGTCTTGAAAAAATACTCTTTCCACAGCGACCTCATGCATCTCTTCTGAGAGGGTTCCAAGAGGTAACAAAAGCTGGAYGGCACGATGACACCAATACGGCCACGTTATCCTCATATAGAAGACAAAAGTCTGATATCACCAAACTAGACCTTGCTGCTCTGAGAAATTGTATCCACGAATGTTATAAAAAGAAAAAAAATTCTCAAATGCCCAAGAGCATCGTAAAAAGAAAAAATATCCATAAAGGTTATGAAAAAATATCAATAAAGTTGAAAGAAAACGTGTTCGAGAAAACCGTGACATGASTTGTTTAAAGTAGATTGAACATCAGTTTATCACAGTTTAATCATAAAAATATATGCAACTAGGTTATCATAAAATAGGCTAGTTCTCTAGGTAAAAACAAAGATGTGTTCTAGATCTAGTAAGAACTTTTCAGATTTTGCCAGAGTTTTCCTAAATGTCCAAGAATATTCTACTAACGTTMAGAAACTTCTAGAACTTTGTTGAATATTATAGCAAAATAGTGAAATTTAGACATTTTTTGAAAAAAAAAAAAGACCCTGTAAGCCACAAAAGCAAAGCTCAAACAAAGAAGAAAAGATCAAGCAGAGAGCAAAGCATCTACATCGAATGAGTGAGTTGAAGCGCTGTGGGATTTATGTCCAACAAGCCTTGTGGCTGTCCTGTCAGCCACGGGATAACTCATCCATGCACACGACTGCTACCAGAAACGTCCTGTAATCCACTCCAGCAAAATGACTCAGGAGCCACAGGCACTTAGACCTCAACCGCTGCACTTTCTGCATCACACCGTCCCTCCTCTCTCACATTTACTCCCTCTGCTTTCTGCCCCTGAGGATGGCTCTGACTAATATAAGCAGCCTCTTGATGCCCGTGAAAGTGTACGCTGGACTTAAAGAGCCCTTTTTTCTTCATAGCAGGTGCGTCTCACCTGCTGGATTCCTGCTTGAACATATCAATGATGTTCTCAACCAGCAGGTTCCTCTGCAGGCCGTAGACACCGTGCCTGTCCAGGACCACCTCATGTCTACAGGAGGGGCATCGGAAGCGACCGCCTGATGTCACTGCGCCAGTTCTTGTTGGGAGGTACGGGTTTGAAGCCTGTGGAAAAACACAACGATTCAGACCCAAAACTCGGTGCGTTGACTTTGCTGGGATGAAGGAAGGAATTTGCGCTGCATAAATTAATAAAACTGATTTTACTGAGYAGTTATGAAATGTTAATGCAGTGGATTATTAGTTCTAAAAAACTAACTCTACAYGGCCCTACAGGTGTGTGAATCCAGGAAAATACAGTGGGGTGTGAAAGTTTGGGCAGCCTTGTTAATTTCCCTGATTTACATTTATAAATCATTGATTG